TAATTATATTTTCTGGTTGGCAGTTTATTTATTTATCTATTTTTTAAAAAAAGTCATGAATAAGTAGGGTAACCCCCTTAGCTTTTTTCATCCATTTTCGTTTTCATTCAGCTGGGATAAGTTCGTCCCCAGACTCCTCTCATTTTGTACGTCATCATGCTGACGATTAACTATGGCGTGAGCAGCAAAACAATTGTTTTTGCTATTTTTTGTGGGCCACATCCATAAGAAGAGGAATTTTTGTCTACTAGCTGAGGAGTTTCCAAGTGTTTTTGCTCGCTAATTGGTCTGCTACAGAGGCTATCTGGAGTATTTTAGAGTAAGTAATCATTTACCTTTTTTTTTTTCCAAGACCTTTCAGTACTTTCATGTGTCAATGCTGCAGGCATCTTGGTACGGTTATAGCTAATGGATCTATTTGCCCTAGAAACCTGTTTCCCTCGTTTCAAGGTGCTTAACTTTATATTATATTATATATTAACCCTTCAGTTCCTTTTGAATTATTTTGCACTGTGTATTGTGTTGGACGTGGCTGCATTGCAGTTTGTTGGTCGCTCAATATCGGTGTTTTTAACTTTTAACATTTTACTTTGCACTGTATATTTGTGTTGGACGTGGCTGCATTGCAGTTGTTGGTCGCTCAATATTGGTGCTTTTTCTAACTATTTAACTGTTAACCAATTTTATTTGTTTTTATGCCTACAACACTCTCATTTACACACACCCTCCCTCCCCACCTTACCCACTATTTAGTGGAGACTTGGGAACCCTTTCATTAGGGATTCCATACCACACCTGTAATGCCACAAAAGTTGCTAGAGAAACTACTGTTTTTTTTTTTTTTTTTTTTTTTTTTCAAAGCTAGGGCGTAAGCCCTGCTTGACAAGGTAACCATCCACGCAGATGTTCTTAGGGCTTCTTCAACCAGAGGAACTCGTAACGAAGCCCTTAGAACGTCTGCATCTGGAAGGCTTATTGGCAAAATTTCTACCAGGAGGGAACAAACAATGTAATTTTTCTTGAGATAATAATATATAGATTTAGCCAGGGCTAAAAGAGAAGCTCTCGATAATATTTATAGTTTGTTCAAACAAAATATAAAATCGTGTAATGCTAAGAGGCGAAGGCAACGCCGGAGAACGGTGAAAAACAACAACAGGTCTAATTAGCAAAAAAAGCAACTTTGCACGTGCAGCACACTTTTTTTGTACATTTCCTTGCCGTTGTTTTGCACGACTACAACGTGAAACTTCCACAAACTTTTTTATGGGCGAAATTCTCGTTAATTTTTTTTTTCACTGCCGCTCATTTTCTCCTTGCATTGGTGGCCGCTAGCATTTCTCATTTTCTCACTGCCGCTACAAAATTTTCATATTGCTATTCCAACAAAAAAATCATCTCCTTTGTTTTTTATCTCTAGATCTCTCTCGCCCTTTTCTCGTTGAGTTTCGCTGGCCTGCCGCCTACTTTCTCTTTTTCTCCGTCTTTCTCTTGCTCTATATTCCAAATTTGTGGACATGAAAATTAATCTAAGCTTAATCCTTTAGACAACTCGGATACAGAAACAATTTCCGCTTTCCGTTTTCGCCTTTATTGACTCTTTAGCTACCTCTAAATTTCAAAAGGCGGGTAGCTATGCGGTTCCAGCCAAAATAACCTCGAGTTGCATTTGGGTTGCCATACCTGTTGATTGACCTATTTTACATTGGCATGCCTGTGGTGCGGACGGACGGTCGCTCGGGTGGTCGGTCGATGTACGGTCACGTGATTACCAAATTTTCTTGGATGGGTAGATTACCATATTTTCTTACCCATAGTGCTCCGCTGCGCGCGTCTCGCACGCAAGAGCTTCGCTATCAAATTGCCTGTAGCGAGGAATACCATTCTACCTACAAATTGAGCTGATCTTGAACAAAGCAATAGACTAGTTGAAAAGTTTGGTAGTCCGAGGCCGCCACCAGATCACGCTTTAGCGGCAGTATCTAAGGCAGTTGTGGTTAATTTAAGAATCCAACCGTATCTCCAAGGAGAAGTTCCTCAAAAGAAGATCCACACAGAAAAGAAAAATCTGTGAGAGGTGACTTCTTTCCCGACAGTGATCTTTTGGTAAACCATGCAAGGTCAGAGGCAGATATTAGAATTAAACCAAAAAACGACAATTGACGGACACGGCTATCAGCACAGAGTTGTTGACAGTGTGGGTAGCTGTAGCGAGAACAGAAGTGAAGCAGCACAGAATGGAAATACATTCGACTCTCGAAAACTCGAACCTTCAAGGGAAATCGGAACAAGGTTCGAGTTATCGGGAGTCCGAAGAAAATAGGCGAGAGTAAGGTAGAGAACAGTTTTTACTGCACAGTGAACATTTTAATCACATTTATTTGTAGAAATATCAAGTGAAAATTAAAAGGTACTTCTAGATTATAAATCAGAACGTAACGTAACAAAAGATAGCCTAAATAGAGCATGCGTTTTACTGTTTTGAGAAGAAAAGCTGGTTCACGTTAGCCTGTGACAATGAACATCAGCTTCCACTAGTAACTGACTATACTCCTACACCACGTCAATAGGAAATCCAAAATTCAATGTTTCGGACGCCAGTATAAGGCTTTTTTCCCGACTTTTTAAGGGTTCAAAACATGGTTCGAGTTATCGAGGGTAAAATGATATAGAAAATGACCTGAGGGGAAACGAAAATTGGTTCGAGTTATCGAGGGTTCGAGTTACATAGGGTAAAATTACAGTAAATGTAAGACGGAAATCCAGTGGAAATCGATTATGGTTCGAGTTAGCGCGAGGTTCGAATTATAGGGAGTCGACTGTAGTTGCATTGTACCAATTGATTCCGATCCTGGGGATGACACAAAAGGAAAGGAAAGGTGCGATAAGGATAATTGTACGCTATTCTATTATCCTGTAACAGAACAAATTGTGTCACAACCCACCAGTACTTCACTTTCAACAGTGTTATCACAAGCGACACCTGGCTTTCAACCAACCAGTAAGTTGTGTTTTAAGTAGATGGTTACAAAAATAAATATTAAACGAAAAAAAATAAATAAATGCTTATAGGACTAAGTGGAGTCCGTTTTGGTCTGTAATCATAAGTATCCGATTTGTTTAATCACGAATATGATTACCGACTGAATTGGACAACACGAAATTAGGGTCACGAATTAATCATAACTTTAAAAAATTTGCGATATTTTAAATAAGCTTGTTCAAAACTAAAACGCAGGTTTTTGCTGTATGTAACAATTCCATTCAAGTGCGCGCACGAATGAGAATTTTGTCCTACTTAAAGTTATGATTAATAAGTAAGTGAATAAAATAATAACAAATATTTGGTGATGAAAGAAAAAAAATTGCCCATTGACTAGCGATAGCGCGAGCCTTTAATGGAAGTGAAACGAGGTTCTAGTCACCGAGAGATAGCAGCAGTGACCAACAATCATGTAACATAGTAGTGATATGAAAGTGAACATGATCTTCGCAGTAGAATGAACAACCTAAGCGGTTGAAAAAAAAACCGACCAGAAAAAAATTTCTGGCCTGAACGGGAATCGAACCCTTACCTAGCTTTGCGATGACCGCACCAAACCCTCTATCCATTAAGCTAATGAGGCAAGTTACAGTTAAGAATGAATACCACACTAAAGTGTATGCACTGATTGGACCCCAAAGTGCGCTTCATGTGGGACAATCAGCTGTGACTACTGGGTTAGTGTATGATCTTGTCTTAAGTCATTGTCATGTTAATTTAAATCTGTTTGTTTCGCACGGTTTGCCCTTAAAATTCAGAAATGTGGAACCGGTTGTGGGAGGAAAATTGCGTATCTTTGACTTAAAGATGCCAGTGGTGGTTTGAAATGAGTTGAATCATAGAGACAACCATATGAGATACTTCTGACGTATTTGGAAAGACTCTGTCGTTGAGACAAAGTCCTTGATTATCGTACAGTATACAACTATTCCCCTAGGGGAAGGTGATTAGTGGTCAATATCGATATCTATCTTACCTGAGAAAAAAGCATATAACCCTCTTCTAACCTAGCGCTATGCATCGGCCATGGGGAAATAACCTATTTTACAGTATGTTACAGGTGCAAACGCGATTGACCTGCACCCGTCCAAACCTCTTTTTTCATTGGTGCTTATAACCTGCACTTTCTATTGTTTTCAGGAATAGGGGCATTATTATGTCACCATCCCTATTGTTTTTCCAACCAATCACAATCGTTGTTTGGAATAGGTGCGGGTCGTCTCGTGCAAACGATGCTAGAGTTGACCTTGTTTTGATACAACCCTTTCTACTTTACTATGTAAATCATGTTGTTGTTATGCTAATTATTGTTTTTTCAGCAAAATTTCCATAACAAAGTAGGAGGTTTGTATCAAAGCAAGGTCAACCTCAGCCTCACGTCCACTCAAAAGCTAAGATACTAAGCCCACAACTTTAAAATGGTCTATAGTCGTTTGACTATTTACCAAACCCTTTGGATAAAATGAACAAGTAACTTTCAAAAACTAATGACATTGCTTCGAGGAGTTGTTGACTGTATTTTGACGATTTTGTGGCAATGTCAAAACGAAACATATGAGCAAAAAATGTTCAGAAGTAATGTACAGGCCGTTTTTATGCAACCTATCGTTACATCGCTCCTTTCTTTTTACTGAATGCAACTTGTGGTACAAACTATAGTCTGCGATGCTGGCGTATTTTTGAGATGGTAAAAACTGCCTTGTTTATATTCGTATCCTTGTGGCCACCATGTACGATGTTCAACATAGCGATATAAAAATAATTGAGGTGAGCAGGAATAGAGGGACGAGGAAAGAAGAAGACGAGCGAGGGGGGAAAGAATTCTCCCATCCTTCTTGCCCGCTTTGACTTTCTTCAACTCTTCGACGTTTTTCTCAATATGGCGGTTACACTAGCAGAAAGATTCGGGCGCTCAAAGAAATCGCATGAGAATGTAAATTTTGATTTGTTCTTGTATAGTGTTCAGCCCCAGCTTCCTTCCACTGGTGAAAGTAGCTACAGTATCAACATGTCTGGTGGACATGCCGGTATTGGTGACCACAGTGTAACCAATGTGGGAACAGCAACACCAAGGTGACGTATACCAAATATTATTTATTGTTTAATGACCGTTGCGCTACGTTAGTAGATTATAAGAAACTGTTCTTTAATACTGTAATCGCTAAAGGACCTTATACAATCAAAGCCCTCGTAAGGGACCAACTTGGTATGTTTTGCAGGTCCATAGCAGGAGCCCATAAAACGGATGGAGCAATGTCCATGTACTTGTGTCACGGCGTATATTTCAGAACGATTGCGACGCGAATTGAGAATATGACTCAAACAAGTCAGCTGAAAATGTTTTTTTTTTACCTTTAAATGACGCTTTGTTTTGCATATTCATGCCTTATATACTTCAAATGAATGCGTTTTTAAAAAGAGTGCAGCTTCCAATTTTGCGGAAAAACTGCTTTAAAATTCTATCTAAAGATAAGCCGGTCCGTGAAAACGCTGTATAGTTCTTGGTCACAACCTTCGACTTAAGAATCGTAAAAAAGGAGCTTGTCATAACGGTTTTTATGTAGTCACAGAGTGTTCATGTTCTGTATTGTAATTAGCATTCTGTTCACTTGTTAATATCTTTCAGAACTCCAAGTACTGCGGAAAGTATCGAATCTCCATTTGGGTTTCCGGAGAGTAGGAGTGGTACAAACCCCGTGACTGCTAGCTCAGGAAACCCTACAGAAAGTGAAAATATCTCAAATACCCCTGAAATACCTACGGCAGTTCCTGAAGTGGGCAGTGTAGGATCTTCCGAGCAGATTGCAGTTGCTACTGGTTCTCGCGGAGCATTGTCCGGCAGTCCTGTTCCAGAGACAAAATACTCAGGAACTCCCCCTGGAGATTCAACCGATGTTAATGTCCCTGAAAAATTACCTGTGAGCGTTCCTGAAGCAGGCAGCGCAGAATCTTCCGAGCAGATTCCAGTTGCGACTGGTTCTTGCGTAGCATTGTGCAGTCCTGTTCCAGAGACAAAAAACTCAGGAAGTCCCTCTGGAAACTCAGCCGATGTTCAGAACGTCTCTAAAAAATTACCTGCGAGTGTTCCTGAAGAAGGCAGTGTGCGATCCATCTCGGAAAAGGAAAATGCTGTCAAGGATCTTGGAACATTTTCCTACCCTGTGACTGAAAGTAATCATCCTAAAACTCCCACGGAAAATTCAAGTGACGCTGCTGATAGCCCTGGGAGATTGCCATATCCGATTCCTGAAGAAAATAAAAAACCGGAATTGGGCGAATTAGAAAGGGCTGTTTGCACTTCTCGCACTGAAACTACAGCAACTACCGCAGGTAATCAGGATGCCGCCTTGTCAAGTATTGAAGGTTCAGTAAACTGTAGCAGTTCAGAGAGATGCACACCACTGTCTAGAATTGGGAAAAAGTTAAACTATAGAAAGGCGTCTGAGGAAAGTAGAGCAACTGGTGATTTACAGAAGCAGCGTACATGTAGAGATGAAAAGAAAACTGCTTCAGCTTCGTCAGCAACGCAGAGACCTTCAGGTAAGCCTTGTTAACTTGTCAAGGTACTTTACACCGTTGTGTAAGTTAGTACAACACCTTACAGGGTCATCTCTTCGATGTATTTTTTTGGCAATACTGTGATATTAGACGAGCATTCTTTGCACAGGGGTTGGGGTGAGTAAGCCTACCTTCCATGTGGTAGCGGACCGTTCATAGCCTAGGCTGCGTAGCAGGTGTCGAAAATGGAGGAGGATTGGGGAGAGAGGCACCTTCTTTTTTCCCTTTTGTGCTTTTCTCCCCCTCTCCTCCCCTCCCCTTTTTGCGCCTATCCGACACGCAGGCTATTCTTTAGGAGGTAACCTCCTACGAAGATGTTCTAAGGGCTTCTTCATCCGGTGGAACTCGTGACGAAGTCCTTAGAGCGTGTGCGTGCGTGGCTAATTACCCCAGTATCTATTGTGGAATTGCCCACCAACCCCTCCCCTACGCCAACATTTTGACCTAAGTGAGAAGTAAGTTTTAATGTTGACTTAATTATCCGTAATAGTAAAATATATGATATAACGAAACCTCTGTGTAGCGAACAAATTTTGCCGGTCCCTTGGTCGTTGGCCTACGGGCAGGGAGCAAACAAACTAATTTTGGAATCGGCTTATCCTATTTTCTTTTGCGATAGATAATATCAAACTTCCTGTAGCAAGGAATACCATTCCACCTACAAATAGAGCTGATGAACGAAGCAATAGACTAGTTGGACAGTGTAGTATTCCGGGACCGCCACCAGATCACGCTTTTGCGGCAGCATCTAATGCAGTTGGTGAATTCAAGAATTCAACCGCACCTTCAAAGGGAAGTTCATCGAAAGAAGCGCTACACAGAAAAGAACAATTTGTGAGAGGTGACTCCTTTCCTGACAGTGATGTTTTGGTAAACCAAGATCAGAGGCAGATGACAGAATTAAACCAAACAACGAGAGTTGTCGGAGACAGCTATCAACACAGAGTTGGTGACGGTGTGGGTAGCGAGAACAGAAGTGAAGCAGCACAGAATGAAAATAGTTGTGTTGTACCAATTGATTCCGATCCTGGGGATGACACAAAGGGAAAGGACAGGTGCGATAAGGATAATTGTAAGATCATGTGACCTTGTAAGGTGATTAACTGCGCATTGTGTCTAACTCTATAAGCAAATGAAAAGTAGACGTCAAGTAAAAGCGGCGATGTCCAGAAGATGACACAAGGCGCTTTCTGCTGAAAGTCTATCGCATATGGATCATTTGGATAACCACGACCAATGGACACCGACTAAACACCTCAATCCTTTAAAGGTGGACATCGGTTTGTGTCTAGACAGTATTGAAGTGAGCATCTCACAGGTGGACATCTCTATGTAAGAGCTCCCATGATTGGTGCAATATTGCGTGAACATATTGACTCTTGACCAATGACAGGGCGTCAAATTGAGAGCCAAAAGTCCCATCCATACACATCCAGTCCTTTCCGCGCGCTTTCCCGTCGTCAACTGACGTTCCCGTTCTGTTGCTAAATCAGCCTAATAGCTTCCTTTGGGCAGTTTAGAGAAATACTTCTAAAAACTTTCTTTAGTTTCGAATACATTGAATTCTATTTGCAAAAGTGTTGTCAAAAAGCCTGCGACGGTATTATTGCGGTGTTGTTTTTACAGAGAAACGTTGTTAGCTTCGTACCATTTCAGTATTTTTTAATAATTTGATGTTGTCATTTTGTTGAGTAAATGAGGACATGACGTTGTTTACCCGTGACCTGTGTGCTTAAAGATCGGAAAACGTCAGCACTTTTATGGACTGGTGTTGATGAAAGGAAGTATCCTGAAAATATTTCAGAAATTTTGATGGTAAAATTTAAGTGGTGTTGTCTAGGCTATTTTTAAGCTTTATAGCGGTTTGTAAAAAGATAGATGCCGTTTTAGATGTAAGAAAAGGCTTTTTATAAGAACCTACAAAAATCAGTGTGAATCCGGCGTTTAACATCGTTTATTATTTTTAAAAAGAGTAGATATTTTTGTTTAAGTAGGTTGGCGTTTTGTTGAGTAAATGAGGACATTCCGTTGGCTACCTGTGACCTGTATGCATAAAGATCGCAAAACTTCAGCACTTTTTTAGCCTGGTATTGATGAAAGGAAGTATCCTGAAAATATTCCAGAAATTTTAAAGGTAAAATTAAGTAATTTTGTCTAGGCTATTTTTAAGCTTAAGCGCTTTATAAAAAAGATAGGTGGCGTTATAAACGTAAGTTAAGGCTTTTTGTAAGAAGCTGCAAAAGTCAATGTAAAGTTTATTATTATTTAAAAAGAGTAGATATTTTATTTAAGTAGGTTGGCGCTTATTCTATGGCTGACTGGGATATTTGCATAGGTTATACCCTGTTCATAAGATATGTTCCAAAAAAGGTGACGACGAAGCAAACTGTCTTAACCATGGGAAAAGAAGAAGATAAATTTGTTTGAATTTTAAACAACAGGATACTTGACAACTTTTTTACAAAGCTGTTTAACTTCAAATTGGTGTGGTTTTAATTGTTACAAATTAGGGGTACCAAACTTAGTAATGGCTTGCTCGCAAAAAAAAAAGCTAAGATATATTACTGTTTTTTTGTTAGTTGTTTTGAACACTGACGAAGAAATTTACATTAATTGTCGCCTTCATAGAAGAAAATTACCGGCATGAAAACGGTGAATGGTTGGAAGAATTTGTTAAGCACTTAAAGTGCATCATATGATTTAATGTGCTGTGTTACTCGGTAAAAAGACAAAGTCTTCTCAATAAATCAGTTAATTAGCTGTAATTTATGTTACCTTTGCTTGCTAAAGTTGAATGCGGAACTTGTTCTGGAATGTCATTCATCTGTCGCGGACGAACTCCTCTTCACTTTTACGAGCTTTAGTTAATTTAATACACGCAGTCCCGTTTACATCAAGAATGCAGTTCTTTAGTTTTAACGCTGAGATCATGCTGTGATATCTATTGTTGGATTTTTATTTGTACCCTTCGCTTGGAAAATCCGAAATGGATTTGAAAAACTGTCCTTAAGAACAGCGGTCTTGCACGCGCACGCATAATTAACAAAAAAAAACACCGCTGTTCACGAGAACAGTTTTGCAAATCCTTTTTTGGATTTCCCATCGAACAGTAAAAAGGAAATCCATGAAATCCGGATTTGGATTTCTGAATTGACATCCTCCCTGAGGACGGATTTCTCGGAGGTGAAATCCGTTTTCGGATTTCGTGTTCGTTTGCAAAATCCGAAATCCGGATTTCCCAATAAAACGCATCCGAGATAGGGTTTAACCGGTTTAACCGGAGTGTTACGATGGTTCTACATTTTGCGTTTATGTATGAAGTCCTATTTGACAATTCAGAACTACCTTTCTTTGGTATCGTTTAGGCTACGTCCACAAGGATTCCTAAATTTTTGAAACCGCTTACCTTTCACACGAAACGGCCTAATCCGATCACTCGAGCTTAACCCTTTAAACTCTAAGATCAAAATTTGAATTGTCATCTGTTGCCCCGATTTATTTCCTACAGAAGTAGTGGGGAGAAGTCGATAAAATATCAAGTAAATTCATCCCGTGTGATCATGTCCGTAATTGTCATGACCACTCTGTCTTAAATTGATATTAAAAGAAGAAAATTGATGCTGATCACTCTTAGGGCTTAAAGTAAATTTGCGCTCATCCTCGGAGACCCAGGGGCAGATAAAGGGGACGAGGGAAAGTCTAAACGGGCGGGAAAATGTGGCACGAAGAAAAGTACTTTTCTTCGTTCCATATATATTTCTCCGCCCGTTTAGACTTTCCCTAGCCCCCTTTATTTGCCCCTGGGTCTCCGAGGATGATTTGCGCTCAGTTTCAAACTTTACTGCGTCTATTTCACCTCGTTCGATCCGACAAATTCTAAAGGACTGCATCGATCGAAGTTCCGGAAGAGAAAAAGAAAATAGTTGTCTTGTGTTTACGGTCCTCCACAAGACGTCGAGAAATTAGGCACTTTCAAGTCGTAGTCGTGCAACGACGGCAAAGGAATGTACGAACAAGCGTGATGCACATGCAAAGTTGTTGTTTTGCTTATCTAAACCTTTTGAAGTTTCCCGTTCCCGTTGCCGTTGCTGTCGTCCGGCGCGTTGCTTAAGCTCCCTAAAGAATCCGGACACCGAAACCGTATAGTTTGGAAATCGCTTTCCAGGAGAGCGATCACAAATCGGGATAAAAATATGCTTTTTCAAAAATGCCCGGATTTGTGTGGACATAGCCTCAGTGCTGATTTAATGTTCTTTGGTGATGGTGAATTTTAACCACTTGTGTTATCATTAAAGACTCTTTACAGGTTCAGGTCATTAATTTTAATGTGAAAATCATTTGGCTGCCAAAACAGGGTGGGGAAGCTGTCACAGTAACAAAAAAATTGTTCCCAAAACGTGCATATATTTCTGGTCATTAGAAATATAGACTATGATTAGTTTTCATCCTGCTATAACGTGGATTTAAAGTGGAAAATCGATGGGATCATTTCCAACAAGACCTTTTCAAGAAAGCAAACCACAGAATGCTGAACCTGGCGAATTTTTATCCAAGCCTCGAAGAAAAACAAAAATTTCACCTAGCATAAAAATTTCAACGCCTACGGGTTGCAGAAGGCCAGCATTTACAACTCCGCAATCAACGAGGAAAAAAGTCGACAAAAGCATGTTATGGACATACTGGAAGCCTAAGAGGAGATTTTCATGGCCAAATAATGAAAAATTACAAAGAGAGGAAAAGAACAGTTTTTTTTAAGTGAATAATAACTGACCCACGATAAAAAACAATGCGCCACATTATTCGTACACGCCGGAATTTAAAATGGAAATTAAAGAGAAATGTTCAATGCAAAGTAAGAATTGTTAAAAAGAGAATTAATACAGTTGGAACTTGATGCCAGGAATTTGAGCAAGCATTAAATTGATGGCAGGAAAACTCATCATAAACTTATCTTGATGTTGAAGTATCGCTACCCTTAGAGGGCAATAAAAACGGGACAGCAATGCAAGACTCCTCAACTTTTAAGAACCCCCAATACCGATTATTATCATATTGAGCCATATTTCTCCTTTTGGGCTAATTTTTCTCCAGAGGAGATTTTCTGAATTCATAAATGTTTCCGGAATGATTACATTTATGGTACTCGGATTTGAAGGTGTTTTAATACGCAATTAATTCATCAGTTCAATTCGAGAACTTCACTCGAATACAAAGGCTAGGTTTACTATAGAAGACATTTTCCCGGATTCATAAACTTCTGCGGATATATTAAACTTAAGGTATATACTTGGATCAGCGAGCGTATGCACACATCACTGAGATAATCCAAGAATATTCAAACGGATACAAATTTACTTTAGATCAGGGTTCAAAATCTCCGCACGCGCGACTAAACTGGAACGTTTTATTTCGGATTCACGCCTGTGCGTGTAAATGGCAAAATTAAAGCAACCAGTCAAACTGATCCGAAAGAATCTCCTCTTATATAAACCTCGCCTTAATGTTAGAGAATGAAGGAGTTTATCATCAGATATGGAAAAGCTTAATTGCATTAAAATTAAAATACCTTCTCCTGAGCCCTGACTGATGCCATTCGTTCCTCCACCTCTATTAGGGAGCTTTAGCATCGACGACGGCAACGGCAGCGAAAACGTCAGTTTTAAAATGAATTCCCGTCATTTCAATCTTTGTCGCGTTTATTCCAATTTGCTGAAAATGGCAAGTGTAGGCGAATTTCTCTGGAGTTGATTTCTTGAGGACCGCACTCAAGTTTAGAGAGAGAAAAAGAGATTCGTCGTCGCTTGTTTACGTCCTTGAACATAAAACTTGCAATTAGGCATTTTCACGTCGTAGTCGTGCAAGGACGGTAAAGAAATGTACAAAAAAGCGTGATGTACGTGCAAAGTTGTTGTTTTGCGTAATAAACCTATTGCTTTTTTGACGTCCTCGTTGCCGTCGCCGTCGTCGTTGCTAAAGCTCCCTATTATATAGGAAGCCAAGCGGCCTCTTGGCTGTGTCGCTTTGGTTTCCGTGTTGAGGAAGTTTGACTGTAATTACATACCGAGATTGAAGTTGTCACATGACAC